GTTTTTTTTTGTTTTTTGTTTTTTTTTACATATTAATTTGTTGTTATTTTGCCTCAATAAAATGTTTTGAGAGGTCAAAGCAATACTTCCAATGAATGCTACAAGGGTTTTAAAGCATGCTGGTGGGAGTATTATACTGAGGGTCTGCTTTGCTGAATGTGGCATTGGTGTATTGTTCAAAGTGGATGAAAAATATACCATCAACTGATTAAACTTAATTTCAATCAGTTACTTGCTTTACACATGGGTTGTAATTGAATGGTCTGACAGGACAAAGTTCCAAACTTACATGAACTGTGATTCTGGAATTGATAAAATCAAACTACCCTTTTTGAAAAGGCTTTCTGATCCCAATAAGCATTAACAGAAGCTTTTGTAAATGTTTCAGCTTATTTGCACAATTCTGACCTGTGTGTATGAGACAATATTCCAAATAAATCAAACCTTGAGCAGCCAATGTTTTTTGAACCTATAAATGAGCCTGGTGGCTGGATGTACCAACAAAGCGCACGGTCCGGCGCAGGAAGGAGTTAAAGCTGCATCCTCCAGCGTTTATGCTCCCCTCTGACTTGGGACAGGTCTTCAGTTTGGACTGCATGCAGTACATCACCGCTTCCCCCAACATAATCTACAGCCAGCAAAGGAGAGAAAGGGAAGAGAAGTTGTAATATAGGTGTTTTTAACCATCTCAGGATAAATTTCACCCAAAGAACAAGATAGGAAGGCTAGAATCAAATTAAGGCAAAGGAGTGAAAGTGGTACTTATGTCAGTTGGTGATTTTGATCGACTGTGGGAAGGTACAGTGGGGTGAAAGCAGAAGCAAGGTCCTATTGAACAGCGATCACTTCCAATCAGAGTGATAAATGAGTTCTGTTCGTTTCTTTCCTGCTGATGGATTACTGTTGTGTGTGTCTGTGTTTATCGATTTGGCGGGCATGGAATGAATGATAATGTGGATGGGAAATCTGGGTGTTTATTTATCAATCTAAACATTGATCCCCCATTAGCCAGGGTAGAATACATTTTCTATACATTTATATTTTCTTATTTATGTGACTTATTTATTTATTACTCTGTCTCTTACTGGAATTTGCATAAGGTCACTGAACCTCTATAACAATACGATGTTGCTTTGACATGTGTTGGAGGTTTGTTTTCAATTAAGCAACACGTCTAAAGAAGAAATTGATTAAATGTCATTTGAGCACATATCTTTTAGTAATATCTTTTAAAAAGCACATCGGCTTGATTTAGATGACTGGTTTGCCGATACAGTTGCAATTCAAAGGAACACTGGAGTAAAAGCAGAATATCGGTTTATTGATAGATGCATGTAAAAAAAAGACTATAAGTTATAATGAATTTTAAGTTATATGTCATGCATGTAAAAAGAGGAGCGTGGCTTAACATACAGTGAACTGGTGCACAAAGGGACAATTAAAGCCAAAATTATATAAAGTGCAGATGTATTCACAAATATGACATAAAGCATTATTTGTCTTATAAATCTTAACATGGACTTACAGAAGCTGCTGGACCAGCGAACGCTAAACTCAGCAGCATCAACAGAGGGATGAGCTCATCTCCAGTCTCGACGTAGGGCATGGAGAGGTCGCGGTCATAGCAACGGAAGCCCACCATCGCCGGGGAAAGGACATCTGTCAACTCCAGGAAGTACAGGGACACCAAGGAGGACAGGACAATGGGGAGCTGCATAGGAATTAGAGGACAACATATCTATTCCGAACGCATAAAACAAAGTCAAGGGCAAAGCAAAGAGTGATAAGCCATACATGTTTTTATTTTTAAAAGAGTTAGCTAATATTTAAATTCAACTCCTATTAACTATTACAACTGCATGTTAAGCATCATAAATACACATACAACACACAACCTTTTAAATGTATATATTTCACAATAGGCCTTTAATATTCTTAATTTATCCATACCTCCACAAAATAAAAACATGGCAGCAGAGTTATGCTGTCTTTGGGTGGTTTCTTCTTTGCTTTGGTTTTGGGTGATGTCATCTTGGGGTGGGACCAGTCACAGCCTGTGGAATACATTACAAAGGAATATCAGTTCAAATGTCATGAGAAAATTTTTCTTTAAATAAAAAGTTAACATTTTATTGCAGGGCATTACATTGAGAAACTATTTAAAAAGGTTTGAAAGATCTGGGAATCTCTGTAAAGTTGTAAATGTTGTGAATTGGAGCTATAAATAAACTAAATTAAATTGAATTCAACATTGTTGGGATATTAATCCAGGTAACAACCTCATGAAGATATAAAAGAAAAAACTTTCTCACATGTATCAGAAACTTTCCATTTTCTAAAATAAACCACGGGACCTCATATTTGTTTTTCAAGTCTTTTTCTGAAAAAACATAACAGTGACATCTGACAAGCAAGGCAGCAATATCATTATGCGCCAGTCCAAGAAATATAATGCAAACAGTTCCGTTTTTTTTTTTTTTTTTTAATAAGCACTGTAAGGTGAAATTATCTAGAAGTTACACTATGATTGGAGATATTATATGTTGTAATATCTGTTGCACAACGGAAATTATACGGTAAACACAAGAAACCTTCTTGTTTAAGATTTTTTTTTTTTTTATGTTTCTTTAGCAGTTTCTTTTGTACGGAAGAGGATTAGGGCCAGTGAAAAAGCAAAAAAAGTTTACTGATTTTTTTTTTTGGTATAATATGAGAAAAAAAAAAATCAGAATTCTGACTTAAATCTCAGAATTTTGTATTTAATCTCAGAAGTTTGATTTTTTTTTTCCCTCAGTATTCTACGGAAGAGGATTAGGGCCACTGAAAAAAAAAAAGTAAACTGATTTTTAAATTTTATTTCAGTTTAACATGGGAAAAAAGTCAGAATTCTGAGA